TAGGGGGGCTAGCAGGCCCAAGTGAGCTGTAAGCACAGGTGAGCTGTGCATCCCTCTTCCTTGGGGCTCCAGAACGTTTTCCTTGTTGCAGTCATGACTTGCCATCAGATCACACCAATGGTTTTCCTGTGACCAGCTGATAGAGGAAGAATAAGTCTGTACCTGATTTAGTATGTTGATGTCAGTCAAAAATGGACTGCTGTTTCCACTTAAAGCCCTGGTTAATTTGGTCTGAAAGGCAGCTGTAAGGGAAAACTGCCAGTGGACGGGCTTAGAGCCTGTTCGGGCATACCTGTTCAACTTGGTGGAGGAGGGAAAGAGTGGAGTGTGTTTTATAAAGATTTATATGTAGTCTTGGGCAGCAAATGTTTGGTTGGTCAGGGGCCTGAAAGAAAAAAGACAGAGGCTGACAAGGAGATCTGGGAAGAGGCATGTGGATAGTCCTCTAGGGGTGGCCACTATTCCCACCAGAGCATCCACTGCAGAAGACACTGGGCACCCAGCTGGACAGCAGCATGACTCACCCTGAGGAAGCTAGCTTGGTCCCTGAGTGACTTCCCTGCTGTGGTGATGGGTGAGGATTAGGCCTGGGTCCACAGCTCAAGGTGATGCCTCTACTGATTTGATCTGTCAGCAGAAAAGCCCCAAGCCCTCAGTCAGCCAGCTGCTTGGGGGGGATATTGCTTATGTTGGCACTTCCAATTTGGCAAAGGCAGCCAGGCCTAAGGTGTATTTTATGAGAAAGGAGATCCAAAAATGGGTTCTTCATCAAGGAATCCATTGGTCTAGTACCAAGTGGGCAGAAGTGGCCCAACTAGACTGATGGGATGGTTTATTGAAAAATGACTTCTGAGGCACCAACTCACAAATGAGACACAGTTGGGTACTTCCACCCAGAGTACAACTGATATGTGGCACTGCGTCTCTAGTTGCCAGGATTCAGGTCTAGGAATGAAGGGTGGATGTGGTATTAGTCTCTCCCCACTTCACTATCAGTGGTCTGTTCACACCAGGTAAAGAAATGCCTGGAACTTGTGCCTGATAATGTCACAGAATGGGCCCGTGCAGCAACCAAGGTGTGAGAAGGCAAGTCAGCAGAGGTGCAGACCCTTCAGGGGCATAAGTCTGACTCAACCCATCAAGCAGAGCAACCCCGGATGGTGAAGATAGCTCAGTAGAATAAGTGTTTGCCTGGCAAACCTGAGTTCAATTCCTGGTTCTGAAAAAAACAAAACAAAACAAAAAACCCTGCAAAAGCAGAGCAACCTGGATCAGCTAGTGCCAGCTGAGAATGAGGAACATCTAGAATAGATGGTAAGGGAAGATAATGATCAGCACTTTCAGCCTCTGGGTCTGCTGCAGCAGTGAACAGTGCTATAGTTTGTTCCACTAATTTTTGAGTATATGACTTTCTACCACCTTGATGACTCAGCGACAAAATGGGCTTCATATGGGACATAAGTTGGGGTGATGGGCGGAGCAGACCATCTGGGAAGCCCCGTGTCACATTCCCTTCATCAACCCCTAACTTCAGCTACAGCTGCAGTCTACAGTTTCATGTGTGCTTTGGCTCAAGCTGACCTCACTCTGAGCCCATGGGGTGTATCGTTCTGATTGCTTTCATGGGCTTCTCCAAAGCTACAGACTGGCCTGTGTAGTTCAAAAGTAGCCCTGAAGTTAGGGGAGTTAATGGCCTTAGGACACCTTCAATAGTGGAGGGTTGGTAAATGTCCTGTCAACTTCCCAGCCAGGTGACAAGCGTCTGGATCTCTTGGTTGGACAGTTCTAGGAGCCATTGGCCTGCTGCTCAGCAGATCCTGGAGACATTGAACCTCCATTGCTCATGACTTGGATGATGGACCTTACATTGACTTTTCCTCTTTCACTTTTTTTACTCTCAGTTCCTCACTATTTCCTGAGACTTCCTTCCAGTTAAACCACTTAAGTGCTTGCCTCAGGCTCCAGATCTATAAGAATTCAAACAAGGGCAGAGAGGGAGAGGTAGAGTTCACTCAGCTTGGTGTGCTGAAGAGTTTACAGTGGAAATGGGTACCAAACAATAGCCACATGACCTTAGGAGATGTAGATCTATGTACTAGCATATGGAAGCAGATAAAGCCAAAGCCTAAGGAAAACTCAAGGCCAGCAGAAGAGAAAAACACCCTTCTAAGTTGGTGGTTCACAACCAGGGACCAGCTTGTCACCCAGGGAACATTTGAGAACTGATGGAATTTTGGTTGTCATGGGAACAGGTGCTGCTGCTATCTCATGCATAGAGTCAAGGATGCCACTAAATACGCAATAATGTACAGCATACAAGTCAGCCTCACAAGAAATTGTCCAGCCCATCAGTGGCGCTGGGGTGAAGTACTCCTCTAGGAGACTGTCAAGGCATGGTGAGAAGGGAACTGTTGCCATACGGGGCCACTAGGATGGGCAGGGCAGTGCGGCCGAGGGGTCCAGGGAGGAGCGAGCCAGTAACCGTGCCTTTAGTTTAGCAACACAGGCCTTTGCCAAAGCATTGTAGAGCAGCAGCTAGTTTGGAGTGGGAGAAAAACAGGCCTGCAAGACAGTTAATGAAGATGAGGATAGACTTTCCAGGAGCTAGGATGTAAAGGGAAGGAGGGGATGCTCGGAGTAGCTGGGGGGGTGGGTAAGGATCAAGGAAGGATTTGAGGAGACATTGGAAGCCTGGTGCAGTGGTGCACATCTATAATTCTGGCTACTTGGGAGGCTGAGGCAGGAAGATCACAACTATAAAGCCAACCTGGACAATGAAAGACCTTGTCTCAAAACAACAACAAAAACCTGGGAATGCAGTTTATACTTGGTATTAATCATATATGATCATATATATTGTATATGCAGTGATATGTGCTGATGGTAAAGGGATGCAGTAATGAGAATGAGTGCTGGAGAGTGAGCCCAGGCACATATAGAAGCAGAGCACAGATGACTGGCTTGGTCCACGGAGGGAAAACTTCCTCTGACACCAGAAGGAGACAGGTAGCAGATATTCCTCCCCTGAAGTCTGTTAGTTGCCCAGATACTAGTTCCTGTTACTGCTGTCTTCTAGAAAAAGAAAAGACTGGTCGCTTTGATGCATATTGTAAAAACAAACACAAAACCAAACAAAAAACCCAAAAACAAAGAACCAGGCAAAGACAGCCAAGTACTCTGCCTCTCTACTTTTCCGTTCAACTCCCTAAAACTCTTGGGGCCGGCAAGATAGCTCAGTGGACTAAAACGCCTGTTTAGGCAAGCTTAGGGAACGCGGTTGTATCCCTGGCATCACATGCCTCTTCAGCCCCACCCCCAGGGCGGGTTGAGCTGGCCACAGAGTCCGGGTGTAGTGGGGCATGCCTGTAATCGCAGCGCTGGGGAGGCTGAAAACAGGAGGATCGCTGAGTCCGAGCTGCCTAGTGACACTACCAACCAAATACATTTAAAAAAAAAAAAGCCTCCCTGGGCCTTCTAAGCCTGATGTTTTGGGAATGAACCTGATAAGTGCCTGCTGATGTAAAATAAATCTGCCTCCAAATCCTGGGTGTCATTTTAGTGCTTCTGTTTGCCATTGCACTGAGATTTGTATTGCATTCTCCTCTCAAGAGGTCTCTTTGGGGAATCTGGCCTTTTTCTTGCCTGGAGTGTTCCAGAAGTGAACACAGGGCTTGTCCTAGCCTCTTCCCCCAATAGCAGGCAATTACAGAGAAAAGCGCGGAGAAGGTGCTCTCAGCAAGGCTGCAAACTACATTGGATCTGAGGACCTCTCAGAGTTATGCTCACGCCAATGCAGCTGCTTTAACACTGGGGAGGCTCCACTCTACAAAGACCTCTGGCTCATTTTGTTGGGGATTGGCTCTGCCCCTGAGGGCTAGGGAGACCCAAAAGACTGAGCCTGAGCGAAGCTGGGATAAAAGTCCTACCCAACCCCACCCACCCTCTAATCCCGTTGGGGGTGGGGGGCTGGCCTAGAAGTTGGAAGCCTTCCAGAAATCACCCATCAGTTTTGCGTTCTTTAAAGTGAGTATAGGGAGGCAGAGGCACAGGCTTGGTGAAACGCAGTGCATGATTGCCTGCCTCACAGGAGCTGCTTCATGTGCTCTGGACAGCACACCCTCTTTCTTTGCTTTTGCAACTTGAAAAAGACACTGACCTTCACCTTTCCTGCCTGGGTGTTAAGAATCATTAATATTTTTAAAATAAATTTATTGGTGCAATTCAGATAAGAGTAACATTGACATCCATCCTAGGGGATTAGTGGAATCATTAAAGGACTCTGTGACTAACTCACTGACTGGATAGCTGCCTTCGTTAGTTTCTTCAGTGCTGATGGTACTGTAGACCACAGGAGAGACCTGAAGCAGCTTTCCCCTCATCCCCAGGTTCTTTCTTCCTAACCTGGGAAGATGGCCCATAATTCTGAGAGTGGGATTGATGACCAGGGAAGTATTTATTTTGGAAATCAAAAGGAAGCAATTTTGTTTCTAAGGTTTGTTACATTTGATACTGCTGTCCTGAGACTGACATTCCAAGAACCCATCCGTGGCCAGCTTTGGCATGCTGCTACAGCATCCTCACACCCTGCCCCTGGCTCCGGGCTGTGCCTGCAGTGCCGCAGGCACCCAGCAGAGGGCGACATCTCCCCTCTAACGCCAGCCGGTCTGGGAGCCTGGGATTTAAGTGATTAGGTGGAGCCTTTTTCTCTAAGCTAATGTTCCGGCAAACTTTTGCGACCGTGACTTGTAGTAAGACATGCATTTTGCATCATGATGCATCAGTATGCTTCATTTGGTACTGTGGGGATCAAGTCCAGGGCCTCACGCAAATAGGTAAGCACTCCACCACTGAACCGCACCCCAGCCCTAAGCATCAACAGTTTTAAAGATTCCCAGGTGACACCAGTGCGCAGCAAAGTAGGGGAGCCACTGCCCTTACTCAAGGCTTTGCGGGGGCATCATGTAAGCAGAAGCCATAAATGCCTAGGGGCTTTGGTGAACATGGGTTGGAGGGGGGCCATGCTGATAGCCCAAAAGTTCTCAAGAAGCTATAATCGAGTGTTTACTAGGAAGATGGGCTACAGAGGTAAGTGGCCTGGATATGAATCCTGTGCATCCCTCCTAGTCTGTGACCACTGCCAAGTCCAAGTGCACTGTTCACCTATGTGGGGTTCAGGAAGATTGAACACATGCAGGGATTACTGCTGGGATGGAGTGGCAATCATAATGGGTAAAAGGTCCAGAACCCAGCCAGAATATTTGAGAAGCTTCATGTGGCAAGATGTGGCCCTGGAGAGGAGACAAGTCCACAGAGAATGCTGGACCTCAAGGCATTAGGAAGCCACTGGAGAGTGTCAGGCACTGGGGAAGCAATGTGGGTGTGTGAGAGAAAGTGCCAGGCAGAGAATGACAGGTGCTCTGTGCCAGTGCCTGAGTGGGGGGAGACGGCAGAGGAGCTGCTGTGATGCCTAATACCTGCACTTCAGGATGCACTGGCGAGGGAGGAATGGGAGAGGAGGAGGTGTCCTCCTTCCTGCGCTGGAGAGATAGGTTTCCTGCCAGCTTGGGAGCCCAGCCCCAGCGCCATGCCTTCTCTGTTCTGGCACCAAGACTGGGCCCTAGGCATGGGAGCATGACCCCTGACACAGCTCCTTTGGCTTCCTAGGAGCCACTGGAATATTTTGGAGTCTTTCATCGTGGTCTGTGTGAGGATAGTGAAGGTCAATCTAGGCAGGGTTACTTCTTGTCACCTGTGTGTGTGAATCCGCTCCCAGCTCCATGTCTTTGCCTATACCTCCACCTTCCGGTCTAGCAGAACCCTGCTGCCAGACACCCTTTCTTCTTCCACAAACACAGGTTCAGCCTCACCTCCCTGCAGTCCTCCTGGCCAGTGACTCTTCAGAATGGACAGGAGTCTCAGAGGTGCCACTCAGTCCCTGCACACGCAGCAACTGAAATTCAGCTCCTGGAAGCTGAAAAGGGTCCCAGGTTGCTGCCCCTCCCCAAGTGGCTGTGTTTTGTCAAGTAGTTATGAGGTGAGGCCCCCTGAGTGGGCTGGGAGGAAAACAATTTGCCAACCAAGAAGGCCTTGGTGAGAATTAAATCATCAGGATTGTCAGCAGGGGGCCTCAGCAGCTGGGGCTCAATGGGAGAGAACCGGAGGTGGAAATTTCTCTGCAGGGTCATGCTCCCTAGTCTCAGGGGTGGGCATATCCCTTGGGTTCTGGTTTCTGCACTGGCTCCTTTTCCCATCCTGCAGCAAGGGTGGGACCGCGGGCCTGGCCCCCTGGGAGCTCCTCTCTGGCCCCTTCAGTCCTCTTCTTGCCCTCTGGACTGGAGCTGAAGGATGCTGCTGGTGCCCAGGAAGAAGCTAAAGCAGGGCCAGTGCTCAGGAAAAGTTCTGAGGACCCACTTGCTGTGTACCTGTGGCCCTGATCAGTACTGTACAACAGATGCCAAAGAGAGATGGAAACCCCAGCCGGGTCTGGCGGTGCTCGCCTGAAATCAAGCTGCTTGGCAGGTTGGCGGCAAGGAGATCCCAAATTCAAGCCCAACCTGGGCAATTTAGTGACATCCTGCCTCAAAAAAAAAAAAAAAAAATAGATAGATAGATAGATAGATAGATAGATAGATAGATAGATAGATGTAGCTCAGTTCAAAGGCCCTGGGTTCATTTCTCTGTAACACACAAGCATGCAGACACATACACATGCACCAAAAAAGGGAAACAAAGCCCAGAAACATGCCTGGAAGGGGTGGGAGGAAAGGATGTAAGAAATACACCCAGGTTTGGAATCATGACTCAGTCCTCATTCCTTGGCTCAGGCTGTGGAGCAAAGGAGCCTGAACCTTTCAGTCCCAGTTTCCTCATCTGCTAAATGGAGGAGACAACAGCAGCTGACACCAAAGCAATTCAAGTTGTACATATGTTCCAAAGCATGCAGTAATGGTAAGAAGGCACTGCACAGGATGAAGTCCTTCAGCACAGGGCCTGGTGTGCAGCAGGCCCTTACGGGCAGTAGCACTCACTATCTGTTCTTGCACTGTGGTTGTGGTGGACACTGAAATTCTGCAAGGGCTGAGTCCACTGACTGACTCAGAATGGCCTGAGGGGAGATGGGGCTCTGAGGATGGGTTAGAGAAAAGAGCAAGGACTAGCCAGCCAGAGGGTGCAAAGTGTCCTGATTGCTAAGAAGAGCGGAATCCAGCTTTTGGCATGTGAGCTTAATGTCACTCAACAGCATTCTAGAATTATTAAACAGATGGTCTGGGAGCATGCTATGAAGAACTATGCTTATTCCAGAATTAATTTATTAAATCATGTCATGCAGACCTCCCAGGAACTTTCATTACCAAATTCCTCAACATATTTATTATCAGCCTGATAGGAAAATTGACAGCTATCTTGGCAAGCTGCTGAATGAAGTTCCCCATGCTGTCTATGTGGGTGTGGAGAGACAGATATGAGCCCCCAGTGCTTCTTTGGGTGGGTCTGTAACAGCAGTTTTGGGGCTCTGTCCAGTTGCCGAAGAGTCAGGAAGCACAGAGTGGGGCGAGATGGCACAGTAGAGTAAGTGTGCCCCTTATCCACAGAGAGGCTTTTGAGGACCCTCAGAGGATGACCGACAGCATGGCTAGTACCAACCTATAGCCCATGTTGTTGCCTAGCTTACATACCAGTGGTAACTTATTTTCCTTTTTTGGTACTGAGGATTGAACCTAGGGCCTTACACATGCTAACCATGTATTGTACCACTGAACATACACCCCCAGCCCCATAATAAAATTTAATTTATAAATCAGACACAGTAAGAGATTAATAGCAGTAACTAATAACAAAATAGTTCAGTCATAACAATATGTTGTAATGAAAATTATTGAAAATATGAATTGTTCATTTCTGGAAATTTCCATTTAATATTTTTTGACAAAAACTGACCATAGGTAACTGAAACTGCAGATAAAGGATGACCACTATGCATTGTTGGCATTTAAGAATTTAGCCATTTAAGAGCTGAATAATAGAAGAATAGACAAGGAATATTATATATGAGTTTGAAAAATATGGATGATCATAAAGGACTAAGTAGAAGACACTTGCAATTCTACCTGAGTGCCAGAGTTTAAAAGCATGACCACGAAGAATGACAGTGAGTGTGGATCTAGATGTTTGAGATGCCTGTCTGTTCAAGATGCTAGGCCTGCAACATGGTGGCTCAGAGGGGCCAATTTCAGCTCAGGATGACAGAAGCGCCTTTCTGGAAGCTTTTCTGCCTGTCAGTGGGAGGGGCTGCCTGAGGACAGGAAGAAAGGGAGGAAGGAGAGAGGGAGGAAGGGTAGGCTGCCCCCACAAGGGACATATTCTGAGTGCTACCAAATTGTTCCTGGCCTGCTTTGGCTTCTTGCATCTCTGAGGTCTGTGTGTCTCCAGAGGGAGTTGTGGAGGCAGAAAGAACTGTGGCCGGTTACTACTCAAAGCAAGCTGTAGCATGTGTAGTGAAACTGTGCTCTCGATCCTGTTACAAGCATGCAGGTATGTGCATATTC